TTCAGGAAAGCCAAAAACAGAAGCAAGCAGCTGAAGGTGGAGATGTCAGAGCTGGAGCAGACAACTGCACTGCAGAAGGACCGGGTGCGCATGCTGGAGAGCGGCATTGATGACATCCTGTCTGATATTAAGAACCTGGAGGATATCCAGAATAGTCTTCCTCCAGGCTGTTATAACACAAAAGCCATTGAATTACCATGAACCAGTTCTGGAAAGGCTGCAGCACCTGCCATGCTGAAGGCAAGAGGGCTTCCCTAAATCTGGCAGAACTGTCTGTGTTTGGTTGTGTCGAACTCATCCTTGCCCTCAGGATCAGTGTGGCAGATGAAGTTCACAATGTCCCGCTGCCCCTGGAAAGTCCCTAATTTTTCAAAGTGCTCCGTCCCTTGCTCATGGGAGGAAGGAAACTCCTGGTTTGTGAAGGTGCGACTGTCTGAAGAACAGCCCATTCCTACAATATATCTCAGAGGTGCAGGGTTAGATGTCAGCCTCGTGAGTTTGCATAGTTTAGACCCCGAAGCTCATAACAGAGGTTCTCCGTCACCTGTGGGTACCCTGTCCTGGTATGGCACACACAGAAGGACTAGGGTCTCTGTCCATACTTTTGACACTGCTACCACTAGCTCCTCCTCCTGTTCTCCATGGAGTTTCCTCGCCTTCAGCAGCTCAGAAGACAGGGAGCAAGCAGCATGAGAGGCTTCTGGGGGAGATGAGTTCTGAGTTGTGGCACTGGTGATGTGCTTGAAGACAACTTCATGTGGTTGTCTCTTCCCAGGCTGGCAGTCTCCCCCCTTGCTGGGAGTGGTGCTGGCATGCTGTGGTTCCTGTACCTGAGAACCTGAGAACCCTGTCCCATCCTGCTGCAGTGCCTGTAACCTGATTTCATTAGTTCAAAAATATTGAAGATGTCTTGAATGTGTCTCCACCTCTGGTTTGGTGCTGCCTGTCCTCCCTCCCTCCCTTACAGTTCAGTATGTTTCTCAGGAGCCACCATCACTACTAAGGTAGCTCTCCACAGGGGTTCCCCACTGCTCATCTCAGCAGAGCTTGGATGAGTCAAAGACCACAGTTCTCCCTTCACCCTTCACTGCAGCTTTCATGTGGGTCTAGCTGCATTCTAACACTGCTCCCACCTTCCTTCAGATGCCATGCAGGGGAAAAATGCTTCAGGGGAGGTAAGTGTCACCAGATGCTGGAAGCTCTGCTGAAGCCCCTGCCTTGCATGGTGGTGAAAGAGGAGATCCCAGATGGAGAAGGACACTGGGGATTCACTCACCCCTCCTTATCTCTCAAGTCTCTGATAAAGTGGTATCTGAAAAAGTAGATAAAGTGCTTTTGCTTCATGATATACTGAGTATTATGCCTGCTTTACACTTTTATTTAAGCGAGATGTATTTTAGCCCCTGGCATATGTCCTTTCTCCTGTTGTACAGCATAAGGACAGCTATTAGGGATCTGTTTTAACATGAGTTGGATTTTTTGAAAGGTAGGAGGTCAATAAATGATCAATACGCTTGGCTAGATCTTGCCTACTGTTTTATTTTTTCAGGCTTCCTCATTTGGGGTTATTTGGCCATGGGTTATCCCAGCAGTGAAGGCATTTGCTCTCTTGTTCTAACTTAGTCTTAGGGCTGTTTTAAAATCACACCAGTAACATCTCTGTTTTGTTTTGTTTATTACATAATTTAAACATTTTGCTGATAAAGTTGGTTGTTTTTTTTTTTTCTCAATGACCATTTTTTCATATAGCAACAGAAAAAAAAAAAAGACTCCAAAACTTTTGACAAAGGTGAAATTGGTGGCATGGCAACTTCCCTTGGGAAAGCTGGAAAGGGCAACCCCTTTCCCTCCCCTTTTATTTATTTTCTTTCCCCAAAAGACATTTGAAGTTCATTTCACTTTCAGCAAATTGACTGTTAAAAAGTGGAGGTTCAAAGACCAAAACCCACAAGCTTCTTCCCACACTTCCCCTGCACCCTGTAAACCCCCATCCTCACCTCCCCAGCAGTCACATGGATCATCTCAGATGATTATTTTCTCCCCGTGCTCACCCAAAGACATTTTTCCAAACCAGTCCCAGAGCTGAAGGCCCCATTACAAACCCCCATCCCTCCCCACCATGCTGTGAGTTTTACTGAGCGGATACACAAAGATAAGAGCAGTAGGACAGAACAAATTCATTGTCCCCACCACAGCTAAGCTTTGCCATCCCAAGCACGTGGATCAGGAGGCCATGGCATTCCCACATCCCCTTCTGCATATCAGAGGGAGTGAGGGAGCACCAGAGGTGCCTCTTAGACATGACCCCTTTCCCCCTTCCCCTTTCCCCTTTCCCTTTTTCTCTCCTCTCCTCTCCTCTCCTCTCCTCTCCTCTCCTCTCCTCTCCTCTCCTCT